CAGCTTTCCCCAGCATGCACCGCGCTTATAGGCACCAGCGTTCCCCAGCATGCACCGCGCTTACAGGCAGCAGCTTTCCCCAGCATGCATTGCACTTACAGGCACCAGCTTTACCCAGCATGCACCATTCATACAGGCAACCAATTTTTCCCAGACTGCACCATGCTTTCAGGCACAGCTTTACCTAGCAGGCATCATATTTATAGACATGCGCAGTCAGGTGAGTCTGCTTGGCGCTGCACTGCTCACCCACCTCATGTTCTTTCTTGAGCATCTCCATGGCTTCTTGGAAGCGCTTTTCCTTCTCCTCGGTCTCTGCAATGGTGGCTTGGTTTTGCTCCTCATAGGCCATGGCAACCACAGCCAGGATCAAGTTCACCAGGTAGAAGGAGCCCAGGAAGATGACAAGCATGAAGAAAATCATGTAGATCTTTCCCGCAGACCTCAGAGTCTGGGGGAGTAAGAGGGAAGAGGTTATTCTCACTGTGGTCCCTTCTGAGTCATGGTCATGGATTTTCAGTTGCCCCATCTGGCTGTGCCAGGGATTCAAACAGCCTCAGCCTAGAGGGTAGAATATATCCCGTTACAGAGAACTGGCCCACCAGTCCTGAGAGAGGGACTCAGAATGTGTCCCCATCCACAGGGGTTTTATAGCCACAGAGGGGACTATTCTGTAGCGTGGGGGACAAGGAGTGTCCAGTTCACAGAGTGCACTGCTTATATAAAGGGGTGAGTACTTGGCTACCAGCAAAAAGAAAGTTTCTTTGCTCTAGCCCCCCATCTGTCAGACACTACAGTGTCTATCCCCAGTTCCCTGCTCCTCCTCAGCTTTTGCCATTGGAGAAGCCGCGTTGGCCATTTCTGGCTAGTCATTTGTGCAGCCTGGGCCCTGGCTGGGCGTCCTGAGCCCCTTCCCAGTATTCCACTGCAGGCGGAGCTTCCACGCACCTGCTGGTAGAGGCGCTCCCAGCAGTCCTGCGTCATCAGGCGGAAGAGGGCGAGGAATGCCCAGGCGAAGGAGTCGAAGCTGGTATAGCCGTGGTCAGGGTTCTTGCCTGCCTTTAGGCACCGGTAGCCCTCAGGACATGTCCTGTGGCCAGACATGAAAATGCTGTCCTTTATGGGGTCCTTTGCCCCTGAGGCCCTCGCTGGGCTTGACTTGCAGCCTGGGCAGCCCAGTGCATGCCCTGTGACTTCCTGATGTTGAACTTCACACCCTGAGTGCCACGCTGCTGGCTCCCGCCTCCACGGCTTCCACCTGGGACACCCTCCGCCCCTCTTTCCACCCTGAAGGTCCAAATTCAGCTCCCTGTGCCACGTGACACACCATCCCAGCTGCTGTCTGAGTGGCATCTCCCTTCACAGAGGAAGGGCCTGGCTCACTTTTCTTCCTCTGCCTCCCTACCCCAAGAGGGGTGGAGTACAGGGACGCAGGCAGGAGCAGTGAGGCTTGGTTGAGCTGAAGAAGATGGCACTCGGGATGAAGGCTGCGCCAGGGGCTGAAGACTGCTTCTGGGGTGGTTGTGTGGGGGCTAGTGTGTCTGTAGAACATACCCCTTTGCCCATTTCCTGAGCAGGAGGGGATAGCCTCCCTTCCAAAGAGCAAGTGCTTGGCTAGACTCATGGTGTTCACAAAATATTGAGAGAGCAAGAGGAGAGTGAAAGTGAGAGACCTTTGTGCCTTGCTAATAATAAGACTTTCCAGACAATCTCTTTAGTGACACAGGTGCTCAGAGATTTGGGACTATAACCCCACAGAGCACGAAGGTGTGATTATGTGCCCCCCCACCCAACAACCACTAAGAACCCCTGGCAGTCACTGATCTAGATCTGGGGTACAGAAGCTGTACATAGTTACAGTGAGATACCACCTCACACCAGTGAGAATGGTATATATCAAAAAACTAACAACAATAAATGTTGGTGAGGATGTGGTGAAAAGGGAACTCTCCTACATTGCTGGTGGGAATGCAAACTGGTGCAACCACTATGGAAAGCTGTATGAAGATTTCTCAGACTACTAAAAATGGAGCTACCATAAGGCCCAGCAATTCCAATTTAGGGTCTACCCAAAGGACACAAAAACATTAATTCAAAAGGATACCTGCACCCCTATGTTCACTGCAGTACTACTTAAATAGGTAAATCCTGGAAACAACCCAAATGCCCAAAACTAGATGACTGGATCATGAAGATGTGGTATATATATACAATGGAATACTACTCAGCAATCAAAAAAGATAAACTCATGCCATTTGCAGCAACATGGATGGAGCTGCAAGGGATCATGCTTAGTGAAATAAATCAGCAGGAAAAAGAAAAATATCACATGGTTTCACTTATAGGAGAAATTTAAGAGAACCAAATAAGATGGGGGGAAAATTGTATTGTTATTACAATACGAAACACAATACAACACAGAGGGGGACAGAGAGGGATCAGAAGGAGAGAGGAAAGTGGGGGGCTCTGGAGGAAACTCTAGGTGGCTGGGGAGACCGTGTTCACTGTGCCTAGGTCAACTGGGAGGGATGAAGACTGGAGTGGAAGAGCAGCTCTGGGGGGCTTCTGGAAGGGGATGCACCCTCAGTTGTACTGTTCGGGATCCCTGTAGGGCTTCCTGGGCTTATTCCCAGCCTCACACCACCTGTGGACCTGAATTCAATCCGTTCTTTAATCTTTGGCAGAGGCTCTCTGTGGTGGGGGTGGGGCAGGAAAGCTGCCAGGATGGGAGGGAAAGGAAGTGGGGGGAGATCTCATGGTCCCCGGGGTAAAGGGTATAAATGAAAGTTCAGGAGAGTCCCTGGTGGGGTGAGGTGGCCAAGGGAGTGGGCACCACATACCCGGCATCAGAGCTGTTCCCACACAGTAAGACGTCTGTGGTGCCATTCTTGATCAGGTAATTTTCTGGAGGAGAAACGTTGCATGATGAAAGGCAAGTGTGGCCTGTGGGCTGTGGGGTGGTCCCACTTTATACACAGGCCTTTGGGAGATCCACTCGTGGTGTTCCCTCCCTTTCTTTGTCCTGCCCTGGCTCCCACCCTCTGCCCACACAGCCTGAAGCCACTCTGGTTGCTTCTTTTGCCTTCTTCCTATTCCTCCGCAGACCTTCAACTGCCAGTGTCCCTGACACTCTTGGAAGACACAGGAAACCTTAGCTGTCCCCATAATGAACTTCTGCATCCTGCCCCTACCACTCAGGAGGGCAACCGGGGTGAAGAGAGGCCCCGGACTAGGAAGCAAGGGTCTGGGAAGAATTCCAGCTTGGCGCTGAGTCATCATGTGGCCTTGCCAGGTGACTACCCAGCTGTGACCCACTTCCTGGGGGTAAGGTGGTAGGATGGATGCCTGGCACACTCACCGTGGCCATACTTTGGTCTGTTAGATAGGGCTGGGGCTGGACCCGATGAGATACCCAGCCTTGTCCCTTCCTTTCTGTGGCCTTCTGCCAGTCCCTGTCACTTACCACCACCCGCCTTGATCAGAAGTCGCACTTCTCAAAGGCAGACCAGTCGCATCAAGTATCAACTGGGAACTGGTGAGAAACTTCTCATGTGTCACCCCAGAGCTACTGACTCAGAAACTCCTGAGGTGGGCCCATCAGTCTGCGCTGTCCAGAGCCTTCTGGGGGACTCTGTTGCACACTGACGGTTTATAACCACTATTGGCCACAGTTGAACCATAAGCAAGTGTCCTCATTTCCAAGTTTCCTCAGATTTCTAGATTTCTTCTTCCAGAGTGGATTGCTGGTATGTGTCACAGGCCCTAACTTTACACTGGCCTTTAGGAGTCTTGTGGTCTGGCATCTGGCCATGCGTTAGTGCCTATCTTTGGCCCAGGTCAATGCACTAGTTAGAGAGCTTCCGGTCATCAGCCTGGAGAATGGAAGCATTATCCACAGAGCAGTGAAATAAGAGTTAACTTGTGTTAACTCTGTACAATCAACAAGTTTGTTTTTACCCTCTCCTGGCAAGGAGCACCGATGTCAACTGAAGCATCCCATGCCAAGCAGGTGTAGCTTCCACTCTACCCTCACACTACCCAGCTCCAGGGTACACTGTGCCCAGCTAACACACCTCCCTCTGCATGCAGTCATTCGCCTCACCACAACCAACACTCTGGGGTCAGTCCCAGCTCCAAACATCGCAGTGCTGTTCCCGTCTGGCTTCCCAACTAACTCCACCTTTCCTGTTCTTCTAGTGTCATCTCCCTTAGGCTCAAAGAATACATGAGGACAGGTCCTAAGTCTGCTAATCAACAGATCTCTCTCATGAAGGCCCGAAAGGCACGGGCTGGGGTCCCTGGGCACAGGGTTGGGTCGCTAGGGGCACAGCTCGAATGCTGTGGAGGGAAGCCTGCGGGCTGGGGTCCCTGAGCACAGGGCTGGGTCGCTAGGGGCACAGCTCGAATGCTGTGGAGGGAAGCCTGCTCTCTGGGGTCCCTGAGCACAGGGCTGGGTCGCTAGGAGCCCAGGGGGGCTCAAATGCTGTGGAGGGAAGCCCGCTCTTTGGGGTCCCTGAGCACAGGGCTGGGTCGCTAGGAGCCCGTGGGCTCGAATGCTGTGGAGGGAAGCCCGCTCTTTGGGGTCCCTGGGCACAGGGTTGGGTAGCTAGGAGCCCGGGGTGGGGGGGCTCGAATGCTGTGGAGGGAAGCCTGCTTTCTGGCGAAGCCTGTGTGGGAGGAGCCTCGGCCGCGGAGGGCGCATAACCATGTGCTCGGGCCAGAGTGCGTCCAGTACCTGAGCTGCTGAGGTAGCGGTCTAGCGATTCCCAGACCACACCGTCGGCCTCCACGGAGCCATTGGTGTCGTTGAGCATCGTGAAGTTGCGCACGCACTTGTGCCTGAGGTTGCCCATGAAGAGCTGCAGGCCGATGAGGGCGAAGACGCTGAGGCAGAAGACCGTGAGGACCATCACATCGGCCAGCTTCTTCACAGACTGAATCAGGGCCCCCACGATGGTCTTCAGGCCTGGGGGAGGCGAGGAGGAGGAGGAGGTCACCCACAGATCCTGGGGTCCCTGCTCTACAGGGCAGGGGTTTGGGCCTGAAGGGTGCTAAGCCCCATGGGCAACCACAAGGTGGCCTGTCCTGGGCTTTTAGACCCAAATCCCCTTTCTGATGAGATTCTGCCTGGGGGGGGGGGGGGCGGAAGTCCAGTGTGGCCCGAGTGTTTTCAGAGGGGCTTAATTCTCTATTCTTCGGTAGCTAAATACAGGAAATGGGTGTGCAAAATGCCAACCAAAGTCTGTCCCCTGCTGGCTGGTCTCAGGTATGCAAGGCCTGCCCAGTTAAATGCAGCCCATGGAAGGTCAGTTGCAGTCCAGAGATGGGAAGATGATCTCGGTAGAGGGACACGTGCATGTGGTTGGGGCTGAGGGGAAAGGTGTGTGTGGCAAAGCCATCGGTGGGTAACAGCCTAAGCTCCCACCTTTTGGAAAAGTTCAGGTCAGGAGGGGTCAGTTCAGGTCAGTTTTCGCCTTTGCTTTATCCTCCTGGGGCTCATTCCCATCCATCCCCTTCCCCAAAGCTGAGGCCATGATCTGTTAGTTGCACGACCTAGCTCCCTGCAGAAGCCAGCACCACACAGCGAGTGACAGAAAAGCACGTGTAGACATATTTGGTCTGACATTTAGCCACTGTCCGAGGACAAGTGTGAGCAGAGCACGGGGAGCAAGTGGGCCTCTCCCCCAGCGGTGGGCCCTGCGCCCACCCCCCACCCTCGCCACGCCCCCACCGAAGCGGCCAGATCTCAGATTAAGCTCCATCCATTCATCGTCCAGCCGGTTAATGTGTTAGGAGCACCCGTGGCTACTGTGCCCGAGGCTGCTGTGCCCCTGACCCAGAGACAAGGAGGCAGCAAGGGGCAAACCTGTGGGGAAGTGGTCCCCACAGTGCCACTAATGCTTCCGCCTGCCCAGGGTTCAGGGGCAGTCAGCTTGTCTGGAAATGGTCCTGGCAGATGTTGGCAACTGCCTGGGCTGTGGGCGGAACTTGCAGGGGTCTGTACCCAGAGCCGTGCTGGTGGTGGGATTTGCAGATCCTTTACTGTCCAGAAAGCGTCCTCTCTAGTGAGTTCCATGCTACCTCGGTAGGCACACTTTAGTTCTGCTCACTGGGGCCCAGAGCCCCTGCCTACCACAGGATACAAAGTGAGGCCACGGGGCAGCACCCCAGATACCCAAATTGGACTCTGCTTTCATTGTCACTCTGCACTGTCTTAACCTAAAGCATTGGGCTTACAGCCGAGCCAGGCATTTCCTAGTCTGTGACCACAGTGTCTGTGGGGCAAGTATCAGCTAGTGAGCACAGATTTAGCCTTTTAAAGTTTCACGTACTGATGAGAGAGCCCACTTAGGGCAGGGATGGTTCCCAGGAAATAATGGGATTCTTTCTAAAAAGACCCAGGAAAGGATGAGGGAGGGGAGGTCAGCTGGGAAATTTTGCCACTGAAGTTCTAAGAGGCTGGACAAAGAGCTCTTGCAACCAGTCATTTTTATCTCACTCCCAGGGAGATCAGGTCTGCAGAGTGCCAAGGCTATTTAAGACCCAGCTCAGGGGACACCTCTTCTGGGAAGCTTTCTATATGCTGACCATGGCATTTTCCTAATGGCCACCTCCGGGGCCTGGTGCCTGTTGCCTCACTGGGTTGCTGGCAGCTTGAAGAGGTCTAGAGCAGCTGGATCCAGCGATTGGTGATCTTCCTTCTTTTCTCCAGAACTGAGAGATGTGTTCCCTTGCCAGCCTCCCTTATATAACAGACGGAAACATGGCTTTTCTGCACTGCTGTTGTCAGTGTACTTATCTATTCTTGTGGTGTGTGCTATGAGGTTGTCCCGGCACCCTAGAGGACAGATCCAGAGGTATCCGAGCATGTATGTTTGTGCCAACGCCAAGGGCACCTGTCTCAATGGGGTGTGCCAGGGCAGTGGCTGGGAGCAGAGTGCTCACTTGCTTCTTGCAGGGGTTGGGGCTACTCAGGTGTGGATAGGGTGGTCCCTGTGGGCTTCCCGTGGTGGGTTCGGATTCCAGAAGGAACTGCCGGCTTACAGCATCAGTGGGGGCTCCTTTTGTACGATAATTCACCTCACCAGGTAGAGTCTCAACTCCTGGGAACTCAGAGCAAGGCCCCTGTTTTATGGGGATAGCAACCACCAAATGCAGACAAGGGCCAGGGACCCCAGTTTTCCGGCAGTGGATGCAATCCCCTGGTTGACCTAATTCTCCCCTCAGCTCTGACACTGCCCTACTTGCTGGCCTGCAACCCGATCCCAGCCGCCCTTGCACAGGAAGTGCCTACTCCAGTTCTGAGTGTGGCTGCTTCAGAACAGGCTCTGGAAGGTGTCTCTGGGCTCTGCTCTCTGGGTCTGAAATCATTAGAAGTCTTCGGAGCGCTTTCCCGGATGGAGAGGGTAGAATGGCTTTCTAGAGAGGCTGTCTGCGCTTAGAAGATTTCCCGGGTACAATTGCCAACATCTGTCAAGGAGAATTTCGTCCTGAGGCTACCATGCACGGTTTGCTAAACCTCTACCGCACCATGCAGCGAGGGCCGTTAGACACCAAGGCTTGAGGACGCCTGTCCACAGAGTACGCGCCGTTTCACAAGGCGGGGCTGGGGCGCTGGCTGTGCAGCTTCCAGGGAGGGGGCGCAGGGCAGGGGCTGGCACTCAGCCGTGGAAGGCTTCCCTGAGGAGTTCCTTTTTGGTTCTAGTACGGAAGTGGTTTCCCTCAAAATGGTCCTTTAGATTTTTCTTTTCAGAGGATGTTGCTTCAGCCTGAAGCAACTTTCACACAAGCCTTTACTAATTCAAATAGTTGAGTTCAGTTAGGCAAAGAAATCGCTCTCTGAGGAAGAACTGGGCTTCCACCCAGGGCCTGCCATGAGGTGCTCTGTGCCACCCTGGTGTCTGGGAGAATGGCCTCTCCTAGGGTGGCGGGGTGACCCAAACCCATTCTGAGGCTTTGAGGGGACAGCTGTGTCTGCCAGCACAGCCCGCCGCCCCACACCTGAGCTCGGGGAAAGGTATTCTGGTGACAGGCACATTCACAGGGGCCTTCCTGAGCGCGCTTTGGCTCCCAGGTGACCAGAGAGGCCAGAACGTGTCCCTCCAGCCTTGGCGTTTAACCTGATTTTCACCTGAAATGACTGATATAGTTTTCAGGGCCCGGAGGACTCGGAAGGTGCGTAAAGCTGAGACATTGCCCAGGTCCACAAATTCAGTTGTGTATCTGTAACAAGGGAAATTCACACACGAGACAGTGACGACACGCCGGTAGGAGACACACGGTCAGAGGAGGGGAGAAGGGGAGACAGAGAGAGAGTCACTTGTAGCAGAGATCTGAGAGGCAAATCTGGGTATCTTACCTGGGATAACTGAAATAGTTTTTAGAGCTCTCAGGACTCTGAAAGTTCGAAGAGCCGACAAATTGCCTACTTTTATATTTTCTGATACATACCTGCAGAATCAAACCACAGTTATTGGGGATTACAAAGCAGCACCTCAGCCTGCCCTCCCGACCAGTCCACTCCCTCCACCCGCAGCGGGGAGGGCTGTGTGTGGCCTGGGGTCTTTCCCAGGCCTTCTTCCTGATCCTAACCTGCCCAGCACAGGGCCTGAGCAACAGATGTCCACACAGCAAGCCCCCACGCGGCTCTCCGAGGGACCGTACTGTTGAGTGACCGCTGCTGGGAGGCCAATACTCTGCCGCCTTCTCCATGCCGCAGGGGCTGTGTCATGAAACTTCGTGGCAGGGTCTGAGGTGGGGAAGCTTTTCCAGGAGGCGTGGGCCAGGTGATAACAGGAAGCATGTGGCGTTCTGGCCCTAGTTCTGCTGTCTTCTGCTATCTGGGATCAGCTGGCGTCGGCCTCTCCGGCCCTAAGCCCTGGCTGAGGCCACCTCGGAGGTGTGGCTGGACCTCCCAAGGTGACCCACTTGCTCTTTCCGACTGCCAGGAGTGGCTCAGGGGACCCTGAGGTGAAGACACTCAACGGGAGAAGCAGACTGTGCTCCCTAGACAGTGCTTTGGAAGATGGGAAGAGAAGGTGTCAGAATATTCAGCTCTTTGCTACTCACGAGCAATGGCCACAGAAGAGGAGAACAGAACAGAGTGTGAGGTTCTAGGGAGAAGCTGACCTCGGTTCCATGGCTCCACTCCAATCTCACTCCGGGACCCTCAGCGTCCAAGGCTGGCTGTGGGTCTCCATGGAAAGTGGGTGTCCCGTCTGGGCCTGAATGGGGCTCAGCAGGCTGAATGACCCCAGAACTTGGAAACTTGCAACTGGCGGCCTCCAGAGCGCAATCAGAAGAGGTCACTCTCTGAGGGGCACGGACCTGTCCAAGCAGAGTGTGAGGACATGCATGGATGAGCCACATGACCAAGGTGTAGATGGACAGTGTGTGACCAGGACCATTGGGACAGTGGCGAGTGACTCGTGATATTTAACCAAAGGCTTTGCATCCAGGGTGTCTGACATTTAACCGAAGGTGTCTGATGTTAAACAAAGGACAGCGGCCTCAGGATGTCTGATGTTTAACCAAGTGTGTCTGTCCTGGTGTCTGAGTGACGTCAGACCTAGGACATCAGTCCAGCGACACTGGGTGAGTGCTAAAGATGAGTTGACAGGTCAGTCTGGCCCCTCCATTGCGCACAAGAGTCTGAATCTGCCTTTAAGTTGGGGTGCCTACAGGGAAGGACTCAGCAGGCTGTGGCCAAGGACTTGGTGTTCTGGAGTCATCTGGGTGCTCTGGAGTCATCATCTGTCACTGGGTGGACACCAGCTTTCTCTGTCCATTCAGGGGGCCCTTCCAATTTCTTTGGGCCCTGTGGAGCATGTCTTCTCCCTCCTTACCACATCCCTTCAGAGATGTGAAGTCAATGTCACATTCTCAGAGATTTCCTTCTGGCCCCACCAGATCCTTTCTGTGCTGTTTTCAAATCCACCTCTGTATTCACTTCAGTTAGTAAATCATTCTCAGGGAAAGAGGCAGTCTCATCTTGCAGTGGGGAGAAGTCACCTCCCTTGTTCTGGCACTAATGCACTTATTAATATGATCTAAGTTTCCTTTCACTTTTGATGGCTATTCTGTTCTCTGTGAAGGCTCAGACCTCAGGCTTCTGTCTCACAATCTTCTCTGAGGCTTGGACTCAGTGTCCTGACATGGTCCACATGGGACTGTCATGTGCAGCACAGAATGCTGCCAATGTTGCCATCACCTGGAGGCCATCAGTCTAGTCTGCTGGTGGTTCTGAGTCCACTTTCCTGTGGCTGGTCTAACAGATGTGGCTCAAGGCAACAGCTTTCCTTGCTCAGCACACTGGTTTCAAAGCTGCCTCGGGTTCCAGGGAGTGAGCAGAGCAAATCTGAAGGAGAAACAACAGTCCTTGCCTTTCTCCTCCTCTTCTGTCTAGATCCTGTGTGTTCCTGGTGTCTCCAGGAAGAAGACCTGCCTGTCTCCAGCTTGGATTCTGCCTGTCCCAGACCCAACTCTAACAGTGCTGGCCCTGCACTCATCAGCTGCCTCCTTGGCAGCTGGTACTGAGCACAGAGAAGCCAAGATGCCAAGGTGTGTGATTCCACAGGTCTGCCCAGCGGCTGAATGATTAACAACAAGAGTGGGGCTGGTGGTCTCGAGTTTATGAGCCTTGATTGTGGGTGCAGAGTTGGATGACAAGAGCGCTGCTGCTCCTTGTATAATCCAGAGCTGGCTGCTTCGTGGTTGGGGCATTAGGCCCACACCAGGCTGACTCTGGGGTCCTGAAGGCAGCATAGCAGAAGCGACCCTGGCAAAGAGCCAGCCTCAGCAGTGGCTGGGCTGGAGGTAGATCTCTGCCCTGCCAGGCGGGTACACCTCTCCTCCAAGCCATTTGACTCTTGCTGCTCTGGGCAAGCTGCTGGGTGGGGGAGGACTGTGGGTGGGGGAGGACTGTGGGTGGAGGAGGGAGGGGGAAATGGGGGGCTCCTGGGCCCTGACACAGGAAGAGCAGAGGTGATGGTAAGCGTTCACCCTGTCACGCCAGCCCCAGGGTAGTGGGAAGCCTTTTAGAGGCTGAGGGGCCATTAGGAAGGGCAGGGCTCTGCCTTCTTCCTGCTCCACCCCATCTTGCTGTGCAACCCTCCCCCGGGGCTGCTAGGCAGAGGGGACAGCCAGCGCCATTAGCTACTGTGGTGCCTGCCACCCTCTTCTCTCGGCCCTCCCTTCCTTCCCCTCCAGATTTGGTTTCCATAACAACCCCAGAAGGTGGGAGGCTGTGCTAGCTAGCAGGTAATGCCCAGCTGGGAGGGGGCCAGAGGAAGAGCTCTGGCTGTCTTCTCCACACCTCCCTCTGCCCTGCCCACAACCTCAGGATCAGGTGGGGTGGGGGATCAGGTCAAAACCTAGCTAGGAACATCAGACTTGGGGTGCCTCTCTTGGTTATGAGTAAGGAGACTTGGCTTAATCTGATTCATTGGTGCTGATTCACTCCATGCTTTCAGACAAGTGGGAGGCTCTCTTGGCCTCAGTTTTCCCATCGGTAAAATGGAGGGTGTGCTAGGGAGTTTCCCTGAAAAGAACTTTTCTGCAGCTCAAGACCCCTTTGAGAGTCCTAGGAGCGCCGCTGGCTACACCAGAATGTTCTCCACTGTATCACCATGGCAGTCACTCATTTTTACAAGGCAGAGTCACTGTCCCACCAGGCTTCCGGGCAGAGCATAAGCCTGACATTCCAGTGGGCTCATGCAGCTGAGTGCGGCATCTCTGAGTGGTGCTCGGATGTGGGGGACCAGTCTGGCCTCTGAGCCTGTTTTGCTTTGTCACTATTGGTTGGGGACAGAGGGAAGCAGGCAGGCCTTGGTGAGGCAGACGCACTTGCCATGGGATCCCATGGGGCAGGGGGAGGAGCTCACGTGCCACTGGACAGGAGGACTCACCGAGGGCCTGGGGTCACACAGAGCAACTCCCAGAGTCGTGGGCTGAAGACAGGCCGCGCCTTTCCCAGGACCCAGGAGCCCTGTTGCCAGGGCATGGGCCTGCTGACCTCCAGGATGGGAGGCTGGGTCAGGCAGACTCTGCCCTCTGCGTCTCCAGGCCCTCAGGGCCCGGGGGCACGGCCGCACTCCTGTCAGGCCTCCTGGAGCCAGGGCCCCACTGGCTCCATCTCCCAGTCGGTGCTATTTCCTAGCTCCAACATGGACAGTGTTCCTTCTCGCCTCAAACTTCTGACAGACCTCCCCACTTGTGTTCTCAGCTGGTGATCCAGCTCCTCCTCACTGGGAAATAGAAGCAATCAGAGAATTCCTTCTCTCATCATCGCAGCTCAACCGCCACCTGAATTCCGCCTTCCCTGCTCTCTAGGCCAGCACTCCACCCCCTGGGCGCTGCCCCACCCCCCTTGGGCGAGCTCAAGGGTTTTGCTGGGGGCACCCCTCTGTCCTACCTCACCAGGCTTCCCCTCTCTTCTAGCTCATTTCCATCAGCCTACCGGCACCACCCTCCTTCAAACGCTTTCCTTTGACCCCGCCTCCCCTCCGGCACTGCCTTACTTTCTGGCCTGTTTCACAGCCACCTCCAGGGACCAGATGTGGCTGTTCCTGCCCCTCCTGACACCCCTCCAGGACAGACTGTCTCCTCAAAGTCACCCCTGGCCTTCACGAAGTCGATGCCGATGTTCCCTCCGTTCTTGCTCTCACTTCCTCGATCCTTGCCGGGTCTTTCAAGTTGAATCAGTCCTCAGCTGGCTTTCGGGAGGCTGCTCTGCCCCATTTCCCGCACCCTCTCTGGCCATTCTGGTCTTCATCGCCTGGTCCTCCTTTCCTGACCTCGAGATGTTGGAGTGTCCCACACTTTGGTCCCACGCGCCTTCCCTTCTCTGGTGACACTCATTCCTAGATGATCTCATCGGTCTTCTGGCTGGAAATGCCATCTGTATCCTGATGGCTTCTAAATTTATATCTCTACCTTGCGCCTCTTGTCTGAACTCCAGACTGGGGTATCCAGTTGCGTGCTCAGTATCTCGCCCTGGGCGCTTTCAAAGGGAGTACAGCCCACACGGGACTTCGGATCCTCTTCCTCCCTCAGCCAGCTTTCCCCCCCACTGTCCATTTTAACAGGCAGTAACATCACGCGCTCAGCTGCTCAAGTCAAATCTGGCCTCTGGTGACCTGTCTGCCCTTCGAACACAGCCACATCTGCCTCTTCTACCACCCTGGCCACATGCACCCTGGTCCCAGACACCAGCCTTGCTCTCCTGGCTACTAAGGCAGCCTCCTAACGGCTCTCTGCAGCCGTCCTTACCCTCACACTGCAGCCAGTGTGACGCTCAGGTGACTCACCCCCTGCTCTCGGCCCCAACCAGCACCGCCCGCCCCCATTGGGCTAGTAAGGCCTCACAACCTCCCCCTCACTCTCATCCTCATCTCCTCCACACTTGCCCTCTCAGGCCTTGCCCTCTCAGCTCTGCTCCGGTTTAGTCTACATGGGATTTGGGGCAAGTGGTAGCTTTTTTTTTTTTTTTTTTTTTTTTTTTGTGGTAGCCTTTTTTTCTGAGCCTCAGTTTCACTGTGTAACGGCAGGCTGGAGTCAGCTCACAGTGTACCTAGGAACAGGGGTTCTGACACTTTTCCTAAGCCCCAGACTCCGCGTCTTGCTTGACAGGACCCGCCGGCAGGGCCAGCTTCCCCTTCTCTCTCACAGCAAGGCTGAATCCCAGCAGGAAGCTCCCGTCCAGGGTTAGACCTGGTCACAAAAAGCTGGCGCTGGGGATCCGCGGACCCTAAGGAGTGGATCTCAGAACTGAGCGAGCCCTGAGACCACCTGGCAGAGCACCTTCCCTCACAGGTGGGGAGACTGAGGCAATGCCTCTCCACCCCAGCTCTCCTCCTGGGCTCTCCACCCACAGCGGACTTTCAGAGTGGCGGCTGCACCCTTGACCAGAGTGACGACTCCAGCACTGGTCACCCTCCCAGGCCACTGTCCCGCCAGATCACTCAGTGGCCTGAGACCTCCAAAGCGGATGCCCTCACCCTCACAGCAGGTGTCCTCTAGGCCAGGTGCAGCAGCAGGTGGGGCGTCAAGCTCATTTGCTGGCGGGCTCACTGCATGTCCTTGGCATCCGTTTTCTCGTGTAAAACAGTGATAAAGAACCTGCATCTGGCCTGTTCTCTGGGTGGGGTGAGGATGCACAGGGTGACAGCATGCGCCCAGGTAGAGTGCAGGAGTAGAGAACCTGTGATGGCGAGTTCTTGGGGAAGCCCGGTCTCCTCTCCAGACTCTCCCCCTTTCCTGGAGATCATCCTTAACCACTTCGGAATCCAGGTTACGGGCCACAGTGCCCAGAGATTCCAGGTGGTAATACTGGTTTCTTTGATGGAACAGGCAGAGGACACTAGACCAGAATCTTAATGATGTCCCTCAAGCACCAGGGGTCACCGAGTCACAGATGAGCCGGTGGACTCGACCACCAGGCTGGTCTGAGCCCCTCCAGTCCCATGTTCTCCTGTCACAGGACAGTGGGCCACTCCGCAGCGCATGGCTGCTGTGGATGGCAGAGGGCTGGGCGCTGGGGCAGGGTGGCCTGAGGCACAGCATGGCATAGTGAATGAGTACTTACGCCATGACAATCACACTGAAGTCCAGCCAGTTCCATGGGTCCCGGAGGAAGGTGAATGCATGCAGGCAGAAGCCTCGAGCCAGAATCTTCACCAGAGACTCAAAGGTGTAGATGGCGGTGAAGGTGTACCTGGGGAGAGACCAAGGGGTTTCTCCAGGAGGCGGCAGCCTACAGGCCAGGGTCCCCATGTGGCGGGAGCCCTGTACAGCAGCTCTCTCTGGGGGCATCAGGCTGGGCTTGTGCAACGTACCACAGCAGAGCAGGAGTTGGGGGCTTTGTTCCAAGCATCTGCTGACTCACGCACCTTCCCATCTGTCTGGTTGCAAAGTGCCTGCGCTGCACCCATCTGAACTCTCCATCTTCTCGTCTCAGTTGCCTTGGTCTCAGAAGACCCCCGGCTCATCCCCTCACCCCAGCCTCGGGGTCCATGTACACAGGCCTATCCGGTAGCCACTCAGGGGAGGACACTCAGAGTCACAGCCCCTCTCTCTTGTCTGTAGGTGCTCAGGCAGCTAGGGGTGGGGGCCGCCTACAGGCAGGTGGGTGCCACTGCTTACCTTGTGCTTGGGAAGGAGGCTGACCCGCTAACACTTGAGTCTGGGTGGGGGCTGTCCTGGGCCTGAGCATCCCAAATACCTGGAGACCAGGACCACGGCCCACAGAGTCAGAAGAGGGCCACAACTATGTGACTTCCTACACGTCAGCAGTGGATGCTGGTCCCAGCACTGAGACTCTGCTGGGCCCCGTGAAAACAGGGACAGGGACCAGGACAGCCACTTTGGCAAAGGGGCTGTCCCCAACATTCTGTCTGTTCCCTGAAACCAGGAGCCAGATGCACCAAGTATCTATCAGGTTGGCTTAGAAGCTTCGGGCAAGGCACTTTCATTTGGGAAGGAAACGGTGTGGGAGGGCAGGACGCAGCTGAGCGCGGTACTGAGCAGGGAGAGCCCTCGAGCTGTTCCTGCCCGCGGAGTGTCCGGTAAGTTACGTCTCCAATTCTCAGTGTCCTCTTCTGTCAAATGGGGCCAGTGGCTGTGCCTACGCTGTGGGGTCACTGTGAGGGCTCAAGGGCAGGATATCCATTGTCATTGTTCTATGACAGCTGGCTGTGTCCTAAGTGCTCATAAATGCGCATCTTTTACCACCTTCCTTAATGTTATTAATCTTCTTTGGGGAGTGCAGGAAGAAGACCCCAATTTGCCAACATGGGGCTCTTCTCCCACTGCGAGCATGACTCCAAGCAAGAACTTGGTGGGACTGGGAGTCGCACAGGGCATGGGCCAAGACTGTCCGCCCCCCATCCAGGCCTGGCTTTTGGGGAGACTCAGTGGCCAGAGTGTGGAAAGGAAAAGGCCGGTGGGAGGGCCCCCTGGAGAGGTCCTGCAGATACTCACTCGACATATTTGGTCCAGGGTGGAGGCTCATGCTGGGCCATGAACACGCAGTTGGTGAGGATGGTACACATGATGAGCATGCTGAAGAGCGTGGCGCGGTCAAGGAAAGCGCGTGAGGCCGGCCGGGGCGCCAGGGAGAGCCGCCCGACCAGCAAGACGGGCTCCACGGCTGTGCCCCACCGTGTCTGCCTCTCCCCACTCTGGCTGGCTCTGCGCCCTCCCTGGCACCTGCAGCTAGACACCTGTTCTTCCCCACATAGGGGCCAGACACCTGAACCTGCTGCTTTAGCAGAGTCCCTGTAGGCCCTCTGGGGGGAAGGGAGGAGGCCCAATCCAGACCGCAGGCTCCAGGGCCTCTGCTCACAGCGTGTGGGAGCCCTGGCCTCAGCGTGCTGGAGGCAGATGCATGTTGAGCTGCTCCTCGGGGAGCACTGTTGCTGGGAGAGGAAGGACATGGTGGCAGAGCTCCAGCTCCCCCACCCCCACATCTATGGCAGCCACCCCAGCTGACCTTTCACCTAGGATTTCTCTGCAGACATGCAGTAATACCACAATTTACACACTTCATCACGTATACGCACCCTGGGCAGGCAGGAACTATTCTCTGCTTCCTGCTTTCATGCCTGCTGCTCACTCTGTCCTCTGCTCCATCTACTCTCTTTCAAGAAATCCCTCAGCAGGAGTCTACTCCCTCAGAAGGAGCACCCCCTTAGCAGAAGTGCCTGCTTAGGAAGAACATCCCTCAGAAGGAGTAGCCCCTCAGTGGGAGTATCCCCTCAGAGGAGCATCCCTTCAGTGGGAGTATCCCCTCAGCTGGCTGCTTCCCCTCAGAAGGAACAACCCCTCAGGGGGATGCCCCCTTCTCAGAAGAGACCCTTGGCAGGAGCACATCTACAGTGCACCATTTCCTTGGTCAGGGGACCCCTTCAGCAGGAGGGCCCTATCTGAGCAGCCTGCCCTGACTCGGGATTGCCAAAGCCTCTGCACTACCAAGGTGTCCGGCTGCTTGCTGAATAAAATGCCCATCTGACACCCACCAGAAGGGGCGCTCTTCCAATGCTGGGACTGTGTCTAGGGCATCTGTCAGGGCTCTCGGCCTTGAAGGGCACTGCCATGCCTGATACCAGACTCTTTGGCTTTAAGTCCCAGCTGCTGCTCCATGCTGGATGAGGCTCTGACTGACCTCCATGGCCTCCCTCACCTCTCTGAGACCTGTAGTGGGCACAGAATAGATCAGGGACCTCTGTGGTTGTGGCTCCCCAGAGGTCTGGCCCATAACAGGGACACTGCTGCCCTCACAAATCCCTTCCCCACCGCCCCAGTGTAGCCCTGTGCAGCAGCTGCCAGCCAGCGAATCCCTCAGGCTGCCCGGGAGCTGGGTAATTGAGCTCCAGGGGCCAGCCTCTTTCCTACCTACCAGGGCTCCACCCTTTCAACAGCCAAACCTAGCCTCAGGCGCAATGGGGAGGCCCGAGCAGTTAGACTGGAGCTCAGTGCAGTCATGAGTGAAGCAGTCTGAGAAGTCTCCTGCAGGGGAGAGAGGTGAGGCCTGGCAAGGACGAGTGTCTGCCCTCCACACCTCCAGCCTTCCCCTGAAATAGCATGGCAATCGTGACTCCAATTTAAAGTGAATTCTCAGGCTTTGGGAACCTCCCTCAGTCAAGGTAGGGCTGCTCAGTTGAGAGGCCAGGGCTCCAGAAGCCTTGATTCCTCCCTGGCCAGAGGGTACCTCTCTGGGCATTAGGGTCCCCCCCACAGCCTGGTACCTGCCCACCCCTCGGCCTGTAGGAGCATCTCCGTGGCAGGTACATCTCCCTCAGCAGCTTTCAGGGCCAGGATCAGATATTCATCTCAGAACACACACACACACACACACACACACACACACACACACACACACACGGCTCATGCACAAGCTTTCCTCACCGAACAGCTAACAAGCCTCTCGGATCCTTGACTCATCCCCACAGATCCACTACTAAGCAATCTACTGAAGATCCCAGATGATTCTGAGAAAGGAGGGTAATCTTGGTGTATGTATTTATGGAGATCTGCCTTGGTGCCAGGCTCTGGCCATCTGTGTCCATGAGCTAATTTAATTATTCCAACAACCTATGAGGTGGGAACTTTGTCTCCATTTTACAGATGAGGAGACAGGCACAACCAGGTTAAGTAAAAAATAAGACAGTAGGTAAAAGAAAAGATTTCCAAAGACAACCATATCCTAATTCCTGGAAATTATAAACATCAATTTCTATGATGAAAGGGCCTTTGCAGATGTGATTAAATTAAGGCTCTTAAGATGGCCTCTCTGGGTGAGTCCAATGTCCTCATGGGGTCTTTCTAAGTGAAGAGGGACGCAGGAGGGCCAGGCCCAGAGAAATCTATGTGAGAAACACTCCACCAGCTGTTGCTGGCTTTGAAGATGGAACAGGGCCACGAGCCAGGAATTCAAGTAGCTTCTAGAAACTGCAAAAGCCTAGAAAGTAGATTCTCCTCTTAAATCTCCAGAAAGGAACACAGTCCTGCTGATACCGTGATTTTAGCCCACTAAGAACATTCCGGACTTCTGACCTCTAGATGTATAAGGTTTCAATCAACTAAGCTTTTGTAACACAGCCACAGAAAATGACTGAGATGCCATGCTGATCAGTGGCAGCCCAGCTCTGAGCCCCACTGTGGCAACAGCTCGGTCACGGACCCTGAGGGCCACAGGGTCCACTCCCCTGCCTCCAGGCTGAAGGGCTTGTGTGAGTCACATGGCCACAGGCCCTCGCCTGCTGAGGGGGAAGGCTTCTCCATACTTGGCCTCTGCCATTGGGTGGGAAAACCGAAGGAGTGAAAGGCTTATGCTCAGGGTTAGCAGACTGCCTCGTGGGCGAGAAGTGGAGTTGTCAATCTCAAGGATAAACAAGTAGCTGTGCCTGGCCTATGTGGGAGATGGGGAGACTCGGGGCCAGGGAACCAGACCTGCCTCTGGGGGGCCCTCCTTGGGGAGGCATTTAGACGGGCACTGGAAATGGCCAGGGCTCCTACCAGGGAGCAATTGGCCAAGCTGGTCATTACAAAGTATGGTGAGCTGAGGACTGGGGAGGCCCCTCTCTGTAGAGTCACTTCTCTCTGGGCTGTGGGGGAACAGTCAGGAGGAAGGCCCCTCGACAGAGAGCAGCAGTGCCGACGGCTGCCTTAGCCTGGAGAGTATGGCTTCCCCACAGCGAGACAGGGAGAGCCGTTGCAGACAGGCCGGGGTTGCAGGGTGGGAAAACACTGCCTGTCTGCGTTTTACTTGCTCAGACACAACAGTGACTGAGAGAGCTTCTAGTCTCTTTGCCATGCGACTGCTCAAAACCCTGCCCACTCTCCTGGCCTTGAGGATGGCCCTTCCACTACTGTGGGTCATTCCTGTGTGACAGTGTGTGTCTGTGTGATCTTTTACTGCCTAGCTGAGCCTTTAGTCCACATGACTCTGCTGAAAGCATCGCCAGGTCCCCCACGGAGCCCAGCCTGCAGCGATACCAGAGAGATGAGTCAAGGGTCCTCCTGGCCAGGGCACACCTGTTAGCACTGCCTGGCTTTAGGCTGATGACTGAGCTGGCCTCATGTGTGGGCAGAGGCAAAGGCCAGCTCTCTCCAGACCCGCACTCGGATGAACAGCTTCAATCCTGTGGTGTCACTGTCCCCAAACACCCACTCCCAGCCTCATGATTAAAATGCCAGCAAGGACTGCCTGCATGGGCTGTGGGGAATGCCTGACACTTGGGCTGCCTGTCTTCAGATCCCAATGAGTCAAAAAAAATCCACACAAACTCCCAAAGAGAAGGGAATTCACTGTGGGGGATATTTTCACATATTTGTGCTGTTAAATGAACACACACACACACACACAACGCACACATACACACATGGTTTGATTGCCCATTTGAAAGTGCTAGAGAAACGTGGGAGGACGCTGTGAACAGATCCTATGCACCCAGGAAGGCAAAGCGCTTCTCGGCGTGAATGTGAGGTCTCTCTGAATGTGACTGTGCTGAATTTGGAGTTCAGTTGGTTTCTTTTATTTAATCCTGGCAGGAACACATTCTGCAGGATTATCACAAAAATACGGAGGAAAAAATAATTCTACAGGCCCATATTTACTTTCTTAGGCAGCGTCCCAGGGAGGCATTGCTAGGGGAGGAGGCGTGTGCTCGGCTCCTGTCACCGTGCAGACGAGGGGTCGGGAAAGGGAGCGGGTGGCCTCTGCCTGGGAGCTGACTTCTGGAGAACAGGGCTGCCCCGTGTCCTTTCAGTCTGTCTTGACCCCCTTCCCCTCCCTAAAGGGCCTGGTACAGAGCTTTGCACATCGTAGGGCTGAGATGTCAGAAAGGATATGAAAAATGTCATCAGACAATGGGTATGAGTTTGGGTTCTGCAGGATAAAAACGCCCTAGAAGGCTATTGTATAACAACTGGTGCATGAAGTTAATACCGCTGGACTGCGTGCTTAAAAACTGGTTAAGATGGTAACGATTAAGTCTGTTTTAACCACCATTAAAAAAAAGCAAGCTGAGTAAAAGTTCACAAACCAAATTCAGAATCTAGGTGCATTAGAAATGCAGTGATTTCTAATGGGCTTGGGTTTCTTTTGGGGATGATGAAAATGTTCTGGAATGAGAAAGCAGTGATGACTGCACACCCCTCTGAATATGCCAGCGTCCACCGGACTGTATACATTTTAGCACCGTAAATGGGATGGCAGGTGAATGATCTCAATGGGAAAAAAAAAAAGCATGAAAAAAATAAGCTCCTAACATGGCAAACCTGGACTAAAGAGGGCAAGAAATGTACATTTTTAAGAATGTCCATTTTTAAGCCTGCCCCTCACAGGCTGACATGGGAAACAACTGTCGGAGGACAGCATGTGCTCCAGATCCCGGGGACCTGCTGGGACCCTAGCTCTGGGACAGGGTCTGGAACTCAGCCCTGCCAGATTCTCACAATGCTGCTGCTGCTGCTGTGGACAACTCTTAGACACCCCATCCCCCCACCACCATTCAAGGCCACAGAGGGATTGCTCTCACGTGCCTTAGGGATTTAGGTGCCTCCCTCCCCCATCACACCCTGAGCTCACTAAGGGGCGCTGCTGAGGGCAAGCAGTGTGGCCCTACCCAGGAAGTGGTTGGTGTGTCAAGGCTGCTAGGAGCCCAGCACGGGCCTCACTGATGCCAAGGCAGTTCCCTGGGGCAGCTGCCCTGGGAGACGTGGCTGGCTCAGAACCTCAGGGCCTCTCCTACTCGGTGGGACCAGCCTCCCACAGCCTCAGTGTCACCTCTCAATAGGCCCCTCTGGCCAGGCTGGGGTCTCCAGTGCCCCACGGCCTCCCTCACCCGCCTGCCCTCCCGGCCTCATCTGCCCCACGGCCCAGTCCAGGGCCCCGCAGGAACCTTGGGGCTCCTGCTGCATCCCTGGGGGCTGCCCTGGCTGCCAAACAGTGTTGGGTTGGTTAGATACCTGGAGGAGAAGTCCCAGGTGAGAGCCTGAGCATGCTTTCGGGGAGGCCCCGCCCTCGGAACGAGGCCCCGGAGACAGGGCCCAGCGAGCAAGAAGCCTGGCCGTCCTCCCCCGCCACACAGTCCCACCAGGCTGTGCCCGTACGCCGGCAGGCAGGAATGGCAGCTACTTGTGTGCTGTCTTATCCCTCTGCAGGGACTGTAAAATTCCAAAAGGGGTGAGGACAGGGTCTTACTCAGCTCCGGACCTCCAGGATGCTGCAGGATGGATGGTACCCATCTGGGCGCGGGGACAGCTGCAGGGCAGCTCCATGTTAGGCAGAACTCTCCCTCACCTCACAAAATGAGGTGCAGCTGTGAGGGGCAGCCCCCCCCCCGCCACCCTGCTGCTGCCACAGCCATCGCCTAAAAACACACCCCCCACCCCACCCCTCGGAAAGGTGGGCGTAGGCTGGGTGGAGGAGGGGAGGGCAGGTGTGTGGATGTGGATGTGCAGGTCGGGTGGGCAGAAAGTGGGGCCGGAAAGGACACCCTCATGTATGCCTGAACAGGAAAAGCCCCGGGGTGGTCAGCCGAGGTCTCGGCCACTTAGTCTTTCACCGGGCAGCTGTTTTCCTGTGCCTCCTGCCTCGCCCAGAGGGTGGTGGGGGAGGTCTTTGCCTTGGCCTCAGAAAAGGCCCATCTAGATGGGAAGTCGAGGGGCACTTTGAGGAACTCCAGCCCCCCACACTGCCCGACTAACCACAAGAGGCCCTGTGCCAGCTGGCAGTCAAAGGCAGGTGGCCCAGGCGGTCATGGTAAGTGACGGACCCTCACGTCATGCCGGACGCCCACCCCGCCTGAGGCGCCCTTTCTGAAGTCCGGAGAACAGCCACCACCTGGCGCTGGTGCCCTGTCCGAGGTGAGGCCTGGCTGAGGGCCCCGAGACCCCGCAGAGGTGGCCCTGTGGTCCGTGTCACCACAGGAGCTGTCCTCGGCCGCTGCAGCTTTTCCAGGCTGAGCACTAACTGGAGTCTCCGAGATACTCGCAGATTGCAAACATTTTGTCAACACTTAATCAAAAAGCAAGTGTTGCTGCCCTCGAAAGATGCCCACGTGTGAAGAAAGCAGAGGCCCCATTTACTGGGAAGGGCTTTCTCCCAGGTGGGGTGAGGGCCTTGCGATGGGCAGGGAGGTGCGGGGCCCAGGGGGTGCAGAGTCAGAGGACATTTGGAGCTAGATCAGGGCCCCACACTGGCAGGACTCATTTCTTCTGGTCTCCTCAGTCACTGCGGTGTTTTTAGGGTGCTTCTCTCCTGAAGGATCAGAGCAGGGATTCTCAAGCCTTCGTGTGCCCGAAAATCCCTTGGGGCCCCATTAAAACACAAGTGCTGGTCAGCAGGTCTGGAGTGGGGTCTGAGAGTCCACACCTCCATGCAGCCCGGCTGGTGACGACTACTGGTCTGAGGACCGGCCAGGCATCGTCACTGCCCACCGCCCTCAAGCCCCTGTCCACCCCAAGGGGGCCTGGCGGTGCACACAGTGGGGTCACCTGCAAAGGATATGAATGAACGAGAATCTTCACGGCCGCTCTCCGCACAGGGTGGAAGGGACTGAGGACGTACAGGGCGTTGGTGGCACTGAACCGGAAGATGGTCTTGCCTTTATTCAGCACGATGAACGTCTGTGGGCAGAGAGCTGCTTTAGGTTGGGATGGTGGCCCTTGTGGAGAGAGGTTTTTGGGGGGCAGCTGTTGACTGGGAGTCCTAGAACCCTGGCTGAAGGTGGGGTGGGAAGAAGAGAGAGGCTGAGGGAGGGTCAGCAAGCAGGACAGCCAGGACATTTGGCAGGTCAGGAGACCCCTGCTGGGCTGTCCATGCTGGGGAGGAATGAGGTCAATCAGGACAATGTCAGGTTGGGATTCAGCATAGTCTCACAAGGACTGCCCTGACAAGAAGGGACAGTCATGACCCCGGCCGCCGTCAGCAGAGGCCGGGCCGTGATGTGCCTCCTTCCCCCTCTCCCTTAGCTGATGTCTCCTCAGTCTGTGAGGTTTTCCTACTGCGCCCACTGGGGACTGCCAGTCTGATCAGGGAGCTGGGATGAAGAAACGTGGAAAACAGACTAAAAGACCTCTCACAACAATTAGCTACTTTGGGCCCTAGTCTTCTCCCGGCCTTGTTCTCTTTCCTTCCTCCTCATACAGTGAGAATATATTAAGGGTCAGACACTATGTGGGAATAATGTAATAATGCAGATGCCCTGAGAAGAACCAAGGGTTTAATTTTGCCAGTAATGTGTCCAATTTTTGTACTTCGGTACATTTTGCATTTAGAGTTTCAAAGTCAAACCACCCTGTCTGCACAGCACAGCGGGGCACAGACAGTGGGTGCTGGGGGCTGAGCCCACGCCAGATGCAGCCCTTGAGGACAGCAGTCCACCCCGCCCCCCGCCCCCGGGCACAGCAAGGTGGCCCAGTTCAGGGTTTCCCTTCTCCAAAGGTGCAGCTGGTGAGGTAAAGTCCTATTTAAACTGGGACAGCTGGCAGATAGGTCAGGACCAACATCTTTGTGTCCCAGCGTCACCGTGTGGGGCTTTGGGCAGTGTTGCCAGGGGTGAGCAGGAGAGATCGGAGATCAGAGGCCAGAATCATATCTGGGCCAGGGTTCAAGTGTCCCTGGACAAAGGGCCAGAAGAGACAGTGTCCCTGACTCCTTCCAGCCTCCTCTGCCACCAACCCCTAAAGCCCATCCCAGCCCTGACCCCACCCTCGGCTGGTCATCTGTCACGATTCTCCCTGCCCAGCTAACTCCAGCCTGCCACTTCCCCTGCCTCGCCACCAGCTATGGCCCGAACTCCAGCTTTGACCTACCATGGCCTAGGCCTGCCCACGCTGATGAATCCCAACTTCAGGCCAAATTTGACCCTTACTGTGTGGTGCCGATCCTTAATTTGAACCCTCCTGGGGTCACCTGAGCCGGGGGAAGTGGGCCACATCTTCCCCTTATGCTCAGGAAGGACAGCAGCACAACTGCTCCCTGCCCTCCCCCCTCCTCCCTTTTCCCACTGGTCAGGCCCTGTTGCAAGCCTGTGATGCCCAGGAAGCTGCTGCTGTGATCCCTCCGTCTGAACCACCCAGGCCAGGTCAGTGCTCAGCCGGTACTCCAGGGGGTGGGGAGGTGGGGTGGGGGGTGTCTCCGTTGTCCCCGTTAGGAGTGTGGACCACAGGATGGGTGGCAGAGAGGCCCAACCTTAATTCAAGACAGGACTCAGGGCCCGACTCCAATTCACATCCCAAGGGATAGTCAGGAGTCCTCCGAAGGTGAAAATCTAACCATAGATGATTCCCAAAGTGGGACCCCCTCAAGGAGGGGAGATTTAAACCATGGCTGTTCTCACTCTTTCATAAGACAAAGCATCTCATCCACACGGTTCTGGCCTCTGGAGATCAGAATCGATATCACCAAGGACTCACCCCCCGCCAAAGCCCAGGAGAGCCTGGCCCAGAGCCCCAAAGGGAGGCAAGGCCTGTCCCTGTCTGCTGCTTTGACAGGGAAGCTGAGAGAAAAGTGTGGGCCAAGGTGGACGCGGTCACCTTCTGGGTACTGTAGAAGGGGTCCAGGTCCTCCAGGGGCTCTCCGATGAGTTCTCGGGGTGGGTTGCCATAGAGATCTGGCAGCTTTTTGGAGGCTTGCAGGTCCAGCTGGGGCCGGGGAGCCTCCTGTTCTGGCAGCCCCTCACGGCTCTCCTGCAAGGTGGCCGAGCCTCGGGCTTGCTTCTCCGCCATGCGCTTCTCGATGGCCGCAAGGGACTCCCGGGTGAACCTGCGGAAGCTGCTGGTGCCCCGAGGTAACAGGAAGTTTGCCATCTTCTCATCCTGCTTCTGGGGCACAGGCTGTCCTCACACTGCCTGAGGGGAAGCTGGAAGACACAAGTGGGGGTCTGAGCTACTCGCAGGGCAGAAGGCGGGTGACCAGCTCACTGTGGGTAGCAGGAAGAACATGCAGGGAGGCTCCCAGACCAGGGGCGCCCATCGCCCCCTCCAGGCACATCTGGCCGGAGCTGGCTCTGGTAAACTGAGCGAAAGGCCGACGACCATGTGTGGGGGTCGCGGGGGTCTCTCCTCCCTTTCCATCTCCAAGGGTGTGTCTGGATGAGACACACGTGATGGTGTCACTGGAGTCCCTTCATTCTGCCCCACTGGACGGACATGAAAGGCAGCCCTTGTCCCGGATGGCTCCTTCCCCAAGCCCACCTGTTCACAACCGCTCCTACACACCAGGGCGGAGAGGGCCACTGAGGCAGGGCCAGGGCCTGTCACGCTGCAAGCCCAGCTATCAGACACAGTGAGGGCAGATGAAGGACAAGGGCGCAAGACGCTTCTGGAGCCCCGAGGAGGCTCCCAAGTCACTGTACAAACTCCAAGCTTCTTTGCCAGGAAGGCTGCCGATCTGGGTGGCCAGCGGGTGGACGACACTGGTCTCCCCACAGCAATTGCTTGGGTAAGGGTACTCAGACCTTATTAGGGACACGGGGGTGCCAACATCTGGCAACTGACCAACCGAAGGGGCTCCTGTGTCTGCTGAAGGAGACCAGGACAACTGTGGGTTTTGGAAACAACTCTGGAGCTGGCATCCAGGTGCTGGGGTCCGGGGTTCACAGGTGCGGTTGAGCCCTACTGAAGGATCTAAAAGAAACCCCCAGAGCGAGGCTTTTTCCAGAAATGGGAAACACTGAGCACCTCAGGCACCCCTCTTCCCAAATCCGAACAAACAAGGGCTCATCCCAAGTAACAGCAGAAGCAGGAATGGTGGCCGCTCGCGGGCAAGGCTGTCCAGCGGGCGGTGTGAGGCAACACGGGGAGAAAGTGGCCCCCGGTGGCCTCAAACCATCCAGGGTCTGGTGTGAACATGCTATGCTGATGACATGGAGGCCGAGGAATGTGCTGCCGTAGGCGGCACCAAAACAGGATGTGGTCTGCACCGCTCCTGACCGAGCTGCCGCCGGAGGCTGAGCTGCTAATTACCACATCAAACCGGGGAATGGCCGGCACCAGTTCAAGAGGGCAGGGTGGACACCTGTTGGAGAGCTTTGCCAGGGCAGAGTCCCTTTCCGCCAGCCCAGGGCCAGCTATGCCTTCAGCTCCTGTGAAGGAGGGTCCCCCAACCAGGCTGCTGCACCGGGCCCTCACTGGTCCTCACCGCGCCCGGAGCCCTGCAGGCTGGCCTGAAGCAGGCATCCGGCCAAGCGACAGCTAAACAGGGCGCAAACACAGCATAGCCCGCCTCAAAAGGGCACCCCTGGTCCCCGGACCAGCAGCCTGGAATGTGAGAGGAGACGCTGGAGGAGAGAAGCCCCAGGACCTGCATTTTCAGAACCAGCCCACCTCCAGCATCTTTCCCTTCTAGTTCATTCAAATAAAGTTTAAGGAACATTTTTGTTAAAAATAGCAGGTGAGGGAGTAAGTTCCCATTTTATAAAAGCAAGTCTACCCTCCACCTCTGACTGAACAAAGAGAGGCGTCTCGTCTGTAATACGCGTCACCAAACGTGAATGGTATTATTATTATTTTTTTTACTTAGCTGGTGGAAATTTGGGTAATTTTCAACTTTCTTCTTTGTACTTTCCTTCATTGCTTGACGTATTTATGGTGATCTTGTTTTATTTTTATAACAACAAGAGAGCCATTCTTGTTTAAAAAAAAAAAAAAGGAAGGGAGGAAGGAAGAAAAGGCAGTCTGGATGACAGAAGCCCTTTTTTTTTTTGCAGGGCAATCCTCTCTGCTGACACAATCACTTGTCTCGAAATCAGGAAGCCTCCTCGTTTGCTTGGAATTATTTCCTAAAAATAGTATTCTCTGTCTCACTGTATCCATCTGTGTCCACACGCCTGCGAGGCGTCTGAAGACACGTGGACCTGCAGAGGCTCCCTGCGCGTGCTGGCATGCCGGCGTGGACGTGCGTGTTGCGTGGACGCTCACAGCTCGCACCTGCATAGGCATCTGTTCCAGTAAAGGCGTTTTAAAAACGTGCACACTGAAGTCAGTTATTTGTGCAGATGGGTGCACACGTCCTAAGTGTACAGGTAGATGAGTTCCCACAAACGGTATAACCTGGTAACCAGCACCCAGGTCAGGAAGGGTCCCCAGGCCCTCCGACAGGGGCCCCCAGCCAGTCACTAACTGCCTTCCCTTGCCAAGGGTCACGGTCTCTTGGCTGCTCACAGCGTAGATGATTCTGTCTGAGTGGTTCAGGGGGCTCCTGGCAAGGCTCTTAAGGGAAAGAAGTTGGGGGAAATAGCATCTCATTCTCATTAGCTGCTGAGATTTAGCGCCTCCTTCAGTGACGAATGCAGGTAGCACAATGGAAGTAGTGCCGATGGCCAGTCTTTCCTGACTCATCACAGTTTCCGCAGGTGTGATGTGATGAAATCAAGAGTCATGATTTTATTTCAAAATTGCAATGCTCACTAACCACCCTCCACTCCCGCTAGACATTAATAAGGTAGCCTGACGATGGGCCCTGGGTCCTAACGAGGTCTTGTCCTAGCTGGTTTCCAGTGGAGCCCCCAAACTGTTGGGGCTTGGGGGTTTCGGAGACCAGGTTCTAGATGAAGCCCCCAGCCCCCAGCAGGAAGGCGGCCTCGGGTTCCAAAGTAAACTGGCCAAGAGTATTCTTTGGCCCTGGGGCTCTGGGGGCGGACGGGCGGGCGGGTGGGCGCTGTGGCATGGCAGGATCCGGCCTTCCCTTGTTCTGCTGCCTGCACGTGGCCCTGCCCCTCCTAGTGGCCCAGGGCCCACACCCCGCGGCGGCCGAGAGCGGCTGAGCCGTGCCTGCACGGTGTCTGCTGATGCTGGGGTAAGGGGGGGTCCCCAGCCTAATCTCTCAGGCCTAGAAGGCTAGGCCCCCAGGCTCCCAGGAAGGGCCGGCCTCCAGCTGTGGAAGGCTGGGGGGGACAAGTGGGGGCCTCTGTCTTCCAGCACAAGGGGGAGCGGGGTCTGACGTCACTCAGACCACTGCCCTCTCTAGCTGCTGGTGACTCCTCTGGCCCCACAGCTCCACAGCAGCAGCCCGCACCTGCTCTGGGAGGGGCAGTTCCTCCCACTGGCCTCTCTTCCTGGGCTAGTTCCCCTCTCCTGCTGGCTTCGCCTGAGCTCTAGGGACCCTCGACTCCATCCTGTCCCAAGTTCAGCTCCTGCTGCCAGCTGCCTCTCTCGTTAAGTCCCACCAGCTCCTGAGAGTCCATGGCAGCAAACATGACGCTTCCCTTTCAAATGGGGCCTCCTGCCATCCCTGTCCGTGACACTGACCACTGAACACCCCCCCAAGCAGCACAGCGTCTACCCAATGCACTGCCCAAGACAGGCCTCCTCTCAGTCACCCTGAGTGGGACAGACAGGTCCCAGGCACTCTTTCCTCCTCTCTTCCTTGCACCCCACATGTGGAGCCCACCTGGCTCAGACATTCCCAGACACTCCTCTGTGCCATGACAGGCCTACCAGTGCTCCCCTCAAAACTCCACCTCCTGTAGGACCCCTTCTCTGACGGCCTGCCCACACTCCCTCCCTCCTGGGGCCGAACCCCGGCCTTCCTGGTCTCGCAGGCTGGTTGACAGTCTGTGGGGTAACTCTGGTCTCCCCAAACACCCTGAAAACCTCTTTCCAAGGCAGAGCTGGATCCCCACCCTCCTCTACTGTGTCAGTGCCTGTATGTGTGGGTATTCACATAAAGACAGAGATGGGGTGTGTGTGTGTTTGTGTGTATGTGAGACACAGAGAGAGAGAGAGAAACTGCATCTCCTTTTGTCTCTTCAATTGGCCTTCCTGAAAGATTTTCCTGAACATACAGGCACACAGCTGGTGCTCAATCAAAGGTGGTTACGATGCCATGGCACGGAGCACGACAGCCTAGCGCCCGGAGTGCAGTCGTGGGTACAGTTCCCGGCGGGAAGCAACGCGCGGACTACGATTCCTGCCTCCCGAGATAGCCTTCAGTCCTGGAGGACGCTGGTCATCCCAGCGGTGGACGGGTCCTACCTTCAGCCTGGACCCTCCTTGAAGCCCCTTCCCGCCCACTCTGCACCCCATGCTAAGGCAGGCGCACGCCAGCGTCCTGAGTCACGTCTGGCATTTTGGTCTCGCCTTGGCATGGAGCCTCTGGAACACGGTATGCAAAGAATATTCTTTGCCATGTAAATTTATGCAAAGCGCTCTGTGGAAGTGGTTCCCTGGCTTCCTAGAAAATCTCTGCTGGCTTCCTCTGCTCTGTGTTCCCATCTCCTGCAAGGTCCGGGGTGACCCCAGCGGGTGCTGAGGCTATCGTTCACTCATGCCCTCGCCCCATGGCTTTCCTTCCACTGCTGCTGGGCCTCAAACAGGATGCTGAGGAGAGGGAGTGGGCCCCTGGCCCAGGCACTCACGCCCCGCAGCTGGAGGTGAGGGTCGCAACAACTTCATTTCTTTCTAGAGGACATGTGAAAAAAAATTAACACCTCAACTCATAGGCTCCATGTAGTAATTGAATGATTCTGTGAACACTCAATCACACCCTCTGTGTGCAGGGTCCTGCAAAGACAATCAGAAGAAACTTTCCTCCCCAAGGTGATGGATCCCAATCAACAGGTAAGGTTGGGAAAATGAGGAAAGAGATACTCCACAGCGGCATGTGAAGAAATTTCCACTCAGCTTGCTGAGGTTGGCAATGAGAAAATGCTCTGGACCAGGGTAGCCAAGCTCTGCCCCTCCTCTGGCCTCTCCCCCACCATCCCCAGAGTTCCTGTTCCTACGCAGGGAGGGGACATGGGCGTAGAGATTGTCTGTGTGGATCTGAGCCCTGGCCACTTACTTGGGTGTGCTTGGAGCAAGTTAATTGATATTTCTCTACCTCAGTTTTCCCATCTGCACATTGGGGTGATTTCTCAGGGCT